GATAATGTTTGTATTGTTTGATATTTACTTATGAAAATAAAACATATAAGCAATGAAATATTTTCAGCTATTCCCCAGGGTTTCATACTGCATCCTATATATACTCAAAATTGATTGAACAAAAAGAAACTAATGAATTGGGTATTGTAATTACGTATTCATCAATGTAATACCGGGAATGCCAGGTAGATGTAGGTAGCATCGATTTCGCGTTTTTTTTATATAAATATAAATGAAACGGGGCGAGTAATTAAACGTGAATATTGTATGATGAGCGACAAAGAGGAACGAAGAACAGGATTACACATAAATCAAACCCCCGTCTGAAGCCACCATTTGGTTTTTCTTCCTTTCGTCCATAAAGTATGCGAGTATTCAAAAAATAAAAAACCTTGGGTGTATTTTGCACCCTCCCCCGCACTTATCTTTCCTCACGTTCCGTGCCTTCCAGATACGAGCGAGAAATTTATTGTGATAAAAAAAATATACGTATAACTATACTTGTGTGTGTCTGCATGTTACTTTTTTTCTCTTTCATTTTTATACCTTCGACTGTAATGAAACGTTAACGATTTGCATAATCGGAAAGAATTGCTATCAAATACGTACCTCCGATGCTTGCGTTGTAGGCGACACCGATTCCGCAGTACTGATTGAAGGCGACTGCGGCCACTTCTCCTGCACACCTGGTGCCGTGCTTGTTGTCGCCGTTGTCTTGCGGCATCGGATCATCGTCGTTCCCGTTGATGTCTGTGCTGGCTCTTTGATCCTAATCCAAAGAAACGAGTAAATATAAGAGAAACACACGAGGAGATGAGCAGCAAACAAATACATAAATAATCGCAATAAAGGAAATGGCCTATATCAATAACGCTGATGATGATGCCCATCATGGCTGTAATCCATTTGCCAGTAGGCGGATCACCATAACCTTCGATAAATTCACTTAATTCAGCTGACGAGCTATATACTAGATTTTTTTCCTCCTCCTCCTCTTCCAAACCAGACAAATGTTATATAAGTATATACCAATCATAAATCTTCTTTTCTCTTCCATCTTCAGCTTAATATTCGTTCATAGAACGCGCGAAAATTTAAATATCACCATAACAGTATGAACAATAAAACAAAGCAGTAGAAATTTTTGGTCATTGTTTCGCTTCTGTAATTTCCGTGAAAGCAATAACGATGTGCTTCGCGAAACTTTCCAAACTTTGACGTTCTTGGATTACGTACACAAGACGTTAATTACATTCATATCTTCGGAAATGCTCTTGCAAAGTACATAAATTTGCAACTATTAAAGAAAACAAGAAGTGACACAACAAATATTTGCAACAATTATTATTAATTTACTAATTTAAACTTATAATCGAAGCTGCGTTATTTACTAAAAATATTAATATGAAAAATAATCAATATTTTGTCAATCAAATATTAATATTTTCTTTCGTATTATCGAAATTGATTGCGATTTATCTGTTTAATTAATAATCAAGAATTTATCTATTAAATTCGTAAATTATGAATTCGTGAATTTTGGGCTGAATCACTTTACAAAATGAATTAATTTAAAGTAATTATTATGAAAAATAATTATGAAAAATGAAATGGAAATTATGTTGCTGTTGATTTTATAAAAATCATGAAAAAAAGTATAAAAATTGATTGGACAAATTACTTTAAGCTACTTTTAAAGTAAAATGAAATATGTAGAACTTTATATTCGTTTAATTAACAAAATTTATATCAAAATTTCAGTAATTCATTTGATTTTCAATGTACGGAGCACTTGGAAAGTGTGACAAACAAAATTTAACCTCTCAAGTGATGAAGATGAAAAACAAAGAAAAATAAAGAGCGACTGAAAAAAAACTAATAAAACTAAACTGGAGGAAATGCCGACGAGGAAGTTGGTCGAATTTAATTACTTACGTAATTTTGCGCGAGGTCGGGATGATTAGTTTGGATTCCGTCGTCGAGGATGGAAACTACGACGCCCTTTCCAGTGTATCCCTTCTGCCAGGCGGGACCCAAGTTCATGTCCAAACCGTCCTTCGCACCACCATTCTAAAAAAAACACACAAATAAAAATATTAAAATTCATCCAATTTTACATTTGTAAAAGTAATAATAATTGGAATTATATCAAATTTTAAATGAAATTGATTAATTTTTATAAGACAATGATCTATTGTCTGAAAAAGACTAGCAGCGCCTCGCTTAGTACTAAGATTCCATGATTGCGTCACCAAGGCGGATATATCCG